GACTAAGAGGTGGCGGCTGGCCGCGAAGAGGATGGGGCGACGGAGAAGCGACTGCACATCCTCTGGTACTGACGCGCAGCCTCGTATGCCTGCTCTGTGGAAGAGAATGATCGCCTCCATAGCTCTAGGCGATAGTCAGTCGGCAGGCTGACAAGGAACTGGTCGGTGAGTGTGACCTCTGATAGGAACGTCTCGTCACAAACAAGGCGAGCGTCCTGAAACACCCGGATGTGACGTTCCAGGTCGGCCGGTATAGAGGACCCGGACCATCTGGTCTGGGTGACGCGGTCTAAGGCGTCGGTGGTGTCATGACGAGCGCTGAAACGGTCCTGAAGGAAGGCCGCGAAGTCGGCCAGAGTGGGGACCTCACCCACGCGGAGGCGCTGGGTATAATGATCCTCCCATGCAGTGGAAGGGCTACCTCGCAATTTGGTTGCGATCACATCGCACCACAACTTTTGACGGGTGGTCGTCATAGAGAGCGTGCGTGTTGCTATCTGCAACCAGCGAGAGACACGGGATGTCCCATCATACTCGGGAATGTCTGTGGTGCGCACATGAGGATGTCTACTGTGCTGATGGCGGGGAGAGAGAGATCGAGGCGAGTGCACTGCGGCGGCGTAAGTCGAGGCCGCTGCTGGGGCGGAGGTGTGAGAAGGCTGTGGGTCGTGGCCACTGGCTGATGGACCAGCGGACGAGGAGGCAACGACGGGCGGGCAGCTGTCCCGGAATAGTCAGGTAAGAGGGAAGAGGTTGAGGAGCAGGTCGAGGGAAACGAGCCTGCATCATGGGGACCGAAGGGGTGGTCGAGGAGGAAGGGTGGGCAGCCTGTGATGGGTGAGGTTGTCTCAGAGCGAGAATCTCCGCCTGAGCCTGCGCGATGGTGGCCTGTAAAGTGGCCACTCGCTGGGTGCACGGGGTCGGAGGTGGAGGGGGCGGAGCGGGTCTCCCCGTGGGAGGAGGAATCCCAGCCTGGGCGGTACCCTACTGTGGGGGCGGGGGAACGAAGGCAGGAAGAAGAGGGCGGAGCCGTATTGCCGCGACCGGTGCGGGAAGCTGGGAAGCAACACCGGTGTGGGTCGATGAAACTGTTGGGCCAGAAGGCGGTACCTGGACCGCAGCACCTACGACAGTAGTAGAGACGGTGGGGGCGGCCGTGGCCGGAAGAACTGCCGCCACAGACGGGGTGGTCTGAGCGGCAGCAGCACTCGCCACCGCTGAGGGGGAGTGCTGGGCCTGGCCCGCAGAGGAGGGGGAACCATGGTGACTCCATCTCCGGAGTCCTGGGGAGCCGGAATCGGAACTGGTAGGGGAAGGGGTGTGAAAGCGGTGGGGAGAGCGATGAGGGGAGCCCTTGAGGCGATTGACGTCGAGGGCCAGCGCATTGATTTGTGCTTGCAACGGTTCAAGCGTACTAAGTTGTGCCTGGATTGCTATAAGGACGGCATGAAGGTCCATGGTGTCTGCATGGGCCTGATCATGAGCCGCTGACAGCGCGCTGACCTGGGGTGTGGACTGCGGTGCGGCGATTTCCTCGGATGAACACCCTTCCATGGTCGGAAGGGGAATGGAGGTAGTCCTCAGAGGAGTGTGTGGGGAAAGGAGCCCACCGGTAAGAGGAAGGGGACCGCGAGAGCGGAGTGAGTATGTGTAAGTCGGCTCGCCTCGGATTTTGCGGGTCGCGCGTGAGACGAAGGCGCCGAACCGCTCGAGGGGGGAGGAGCCGTCCAGGTCCAGGGTGCCCGACGGGAGGAGGCGGGAGAGTAGGAAGGGGGGCGGGAGTTAGGAGAACCCTAAACCCTAGAAAACCCTAACAAAACACTAACCGGAGTTTAGGTGGTTAGGGGAGGGTAGCGGCGACCTAATCAAGAAAAAAAATAATATGGAGGGGAGGGGAAAAGAAAATAGAATAAACAATAGAATTTAGAGATAAAAATAAAATAAAAGAAGAAATAAAAATAAATAAAGAAATAAAATGTAAAGAGCGAGGGAAGAGGACTTATTTATTTTTTTGAAAATTTCGGCAGCATTTTCTTACGCCAACGGGGTTAAAATGTGCAAAGAGAAAGGAGAGACTAAGAGAAGCACACTAATTTTTACAATGCCGCAAATTAAAATTTTCAAAAAAATAAGTAAATAAATAAATAAATAGATAAATAAATAAGGAGGTGGAGGAGAGTGAAGAGAAACTAACCAAGTT